GGCGATCCTTCCAACCGTCTGCAAAACAAAGAGGCGTCACATTCCAAAAAACATCGAATACAAACCAAACCAACAAAGGAGTTAGTCACATACCAGAAGGGCTGACTAAGCAACTAATGCTACCGTTACCAAATCCGGCTCGGCACGAAAGGTCGCCTTGTTAGCCGGCAGGGAGACCAAGGTAGCTAAACTCAGTGCCACAGCTGGATCTTGCAAAGCCGACGCTTCAGAAGAGATCGGCATGTTTTTTATCTTTGGCTCAAAAACAAAAGGAGCAACCATAGCCGACTCCTCTAAGCGTGGCCGTTTATCAATAGGTCCCTCTTTAAAGCCGTTCTTGTCCTCAGCGCTTCGCTTTTCGCCCCGATCCTCTGAAATCGGCCGCTCTTCTGTAATTAGAAGCTCATCTTTTTCCGTCTCGGCCACGACAACGTGAGCCGTTTCTTCTACAACAGTAGGTTGAACAGGGTTAGTTGGAACAAGTCCGGAACGAATGGCCTCGGCCTTTTGTCGGGCAGCCATGCGTTCGGCGTTTCTCTTCCGCACCATCTGCGTCAGATTTTCCGCAGCCATATCCTCAGGGTAATCGCCGGGAAGGTCTCCCAAGTTTGTAAAAATATCTTCGAAGGCGTCCCCTCAGCCTAACGTAGACGGAGGGTCAAAAGAGTTCAATCCGGCTTCCTCGAAGGCCGAATTAATAGCTTCGTCAACTTCCGCGACTAATCGGTCTGGGTGCTCGGCGATTGGTTCAGCCACTTGTTCTTCCACAAATTCAGAATCAGATGATTCTAAGCCGATCTGCCTCAAGTTTTTGAAGCTAGGGAAGGTGAGGGCTGTAAGGTGGTTGTTGCCTCGCGGGATCAGAATATTGTCTACCGCCGAGAACGCCGTGTAAGTTGGCTCGTAACGCAAGAGAATGTGAGCTGCCCTTCCTTGTTTTTGAAGATCTGGACGGCCGACGAATTGTAGCGCAATATTAATTTCTGCGAGCACAGCGTCATCGTTTGAAACAAACACTCTCTTCAAATCACTGCTTGCATAAACAAAACGATTAGATGAATACAGCGCCAAATAAATATATATGGAAATAACGGAAACAAGTAATCCAATCGGCCACCTGGTTCTCCATTTTTCCTTGGCACCGGGTCGAGGCGATCTTCGCCTTCGCCGAACTCCCAATTGCCGCGGACAATGACTATTACGTCGTCGACACGTTTGCCAGAGCTGGCGAGCATAGTCACCAAGTGATGATCAATATCCTTGGCTCTAAGAAAGTAGCGCCCTAGCCGGCCAGTAGATTTGGCTAGGACATAACAGTGCCGAATGGCGGGAATACCTAAATTGATCTTAAGACGGTGGTTTAGTTCTACAATCACCATTATGATGCGAAAGAAATTCACGTTGGGCTGGGAAGGAATTAGACCCCAATATCTAAGAACGGCCCTCAAAAGTGGGTGAAGAGGAAAGCGGACTCCGCCCTCAGCAATTGATAGGAGAGGAAGGACGATTGTGCTCTCATCTTCCCTCTGCATATCAGTGGTGCTGTCTGCCAAAAGTGACAGATGAACGTCATCAGGGATGGAGAAATGGCGTCAAAAGCAGGAGATTCGATCCGCCGAAAGGAGTTCTTTCAGATGTTTTGCAATTTTTTGGCCAAACCCAAGGATTACGGAAAGTTAAAAGCAAGTAAGGAAGCGGGATCAAAAATAAAGGAGGAGAAGACTTACAAAAGACGAAGGGAGAAGCGAGAAACAGGGAGTTGTAGAAGCCGCGAAGAGAACAGAGTTGCACTAGAGGGCGAGCAAGCTATCTTTTGAATATTCAGGACATACACTCGAAGAAACAATTTCAAATCATATTAAATGGAAGCAGTGTACGAAAGGGCGTGAAGGCGTTACAATGACTAAGAAGCGTGTGCTCGTTCTGACACGCATTGGGAAGAAGTTTAACCGCCGAATTTTTGACTTCCTAGGCTAAAAGCCAAACACGCCAACTAACTGATGCTAATAGGGTGTTTGGGGGGCAATTGTGGGAGCCGAATTATATCAGATCCATGGAGACGGATAAGCGTGTCTGGTCCGAAACGTAACCTCTATTCGGCACATACCCCAATCAATCAAAGAGCCGAATAGAATAACCAATACCTCAGCCAGTAGAACAGATGCCGAGTAAAGGTACATGTAATGGAACAAGGATGGGCCCAGCCCAAAGGCCCAAAGAGAATACTATAAATACAAGATTTTCAGTTCTAGAAAGGTATGTGAGAACCAATATATTTAACTTAGAATACAAGTAATCTTGAGGGTGGAAACTGACTTGTCTGTCGGAGTGCTAATTCCGGCACCCCCGACCGAAGTGTTTATCCCTTTTCAGGTGGCTAGCAGTGGATCACGAGCGTCCCTCAGGATCTGAAGAGTATTTCCAAACCACTTCTCCATAGTGGTTTAAAAAACTTTCAACCCATAATCATATCAAAGCATCAATCAAAATAGTGATCAAGACCTAATGGGTGATAGTCAACTTACAGAACTTTGGACTCAATTTAGAGTAAGGCAACACCAGACCATGAGATGTAAAGTGATGTTTTCAGCAGAAAGAGTAAAAATAAGTGTGACCTGTGTCACCCAAATTGGAAACTTTGTTGCCCTAGAGCCCAAAAGAATGTTGGTTGAGGTTAATAATTGACACTAGAGACACTCTTTAAACCTATTCTGTCTTTAAGGTTCACTAACACACCCCAAACATAAACTTTGGAAGATTTATCCTTCTCTTGGCTTCTAATAGAACCCTAGCCATGTTATTGCTTCAGAACTAAGGTAGTACTTGGCATTCCAGCCTCACATAATTCCTTAAAGCACTTAACCAGCCAATGGTCTAGGTCCTTTCTTATGTGGACCCTGATCTACTCAGCTAAATGGTAATCATGCCTCACATATCTTGAACCACATCAAAACAGTAGCCCAGGTCCTTTCTGCTGTGGCAACGCTGCTAAATGATTGGCAAACTCAGTAGTCATGCCTTACATAACTACCTGAAGCTCATCAAAGCAATGGTCTAGGTCCTTTCTTTTGTTCACCCTAATCTATTTTGCTAAATGCTTGTCAACTCTTGGCCAGTAGGCCACTTGGCAGAGGCATGTTCTTAAGGTTATCTTTTAAACTGTGCTGTCCTGTTGCTAATTTGATTTGGTTGTTTCCTATATGAAGGTTTACTGACTCAAAATTTTCAAATCTCCATCAGCAATTATGCTTTAGTTTTTTCTCAAAATTTACCCTTGTGCCTTGGCTGATGTTACATGGACTCTGGTGTGGTTGTGTGTCTCCATATCAGATTCATCTACTTCTCATGTCAAGGACACCTGGACACAGCTATATTTTACATTTCTTAACTACTTTTAAAATAATTTATATTTCGTCTAGTTTAAGGAGGTGAGGATAACTAGGCTACACAACATTGCCATAATGTGGGCTAGTCTAAGGAAGTACCAGCTGCGAGAAAATACAAGATGCACGCTGAGGATGACTAAAGTCCAACAACAGCATCACATTTCCTTCCATCTCAAATAAGCTTTGGGGCCTAAGCCACAAGATGCCATGCCACCTTGTACAAGTTTGAAGGTAGAATTGGCATTAGAGGCTCCTGATTCTAGCTCACAGCTGAAAACACCAAATCATCACATGGGATGCAGCTTGATACATTGGTAACACCACCAATGCACACTACACCATAGAACTCTCCTAGGCCTACTTGCTATCGGAGCCGAGTAAAGGATAAAGCCACAATGCTGTAGACATTATAACACGTTTGGCGATCATATCGAAACATAGACATGCATTTTAACAACCTCATCAGGTGAAGCCACCATGCTTCTTGTTCGTCTACAACTAGAGCAGGCACCCATTGGATTGCCAAAAGTCATCATTTGGGCCTCGGCTTCTAGGCCAAGTGAAGGTGTCACTGTTGGAACCGATGGTATGGCCAAGCCCAAAATGCAGGCTATTCCGCTCATAATGATCACCAATGCTATAACTTCTTCTTGGCCTCACCTTTTGTAAATCCAATATACATTAAAATAAAAAGGCATCCATTTGCACTTGGTGTAAGTTTTTTTTTATTATTACACACTGTCATAACTTAGTGCATGTCTCACCTTTCGGAAATCCCACTTTTGGATTGTATGCCCCTGTTGTGACTTTCATGCTTACCAAATTTCAGGATAATCAGAGATCAAGATCAATCCAATCTATATGGCTCTCAAAATTTTACTTTATCAATATATAAAAATAGTGCATGGATGAGCTAGCTCACGGTCTCCAATTAACCTAAAATTCGGCAAGCTTGAAGGCATAAGAGGTGCATATAATCCAATTCTAGCTTTGGCAAAGAGTGAGGCCATCTAAAATTTCTCACTAACACTCTATTTGTTTGGGCAGAAAACATTTTCTAATAGAAAATATGTTTCTATGTTTGGGGGTGGCAGTGGTGGTGGAATGAAGGTGGACGTGGAGGTGATGGCATGGTGGTGGGGCCGGCGGTAGTGATGGTGGCGGTGGCCGTGGTGATGGTGTTGTGATGACATTGGTAAGATTTTAGTCTAGAAAACCTTTTCCGTCTTTTAAAAGTGAAAAATATTTTCGGTAGAAATAGGCTTGTTTTCCATTGACTATAGAAAATTTCTATTGCCTTTCATTTTCCATCGTACCAAACACCAGGAAATAGGGAAAACACTCAAACAAACTGAGCCTGCGCGTAAAAAATCTCTTGCCCACTAAAATAAAAAAATAAAATAAAATAAAGGCAACATAAACCGTCTAATGAATCTCAAACACAAATCCCTATTAGCCATTTCAGTTGATACAAATTGCAATTTCAACAACACAGACACATACATACATATCCATGTGTGTGTATATATATAAACTTGCATAGCGCGCGCGCACACACACACAGAGAGAAAGAGAGACAGAGCCAAGAAATCAAGAAAGAATAAAGAATAATACCTCTTCGGAAAGCAGGGATTGAATTGGAAGAGATTGCATCCCTACAAGCCCTCATTGCCGCTGCTGTAACATCTTGCCTGTTTGTGCATTTCAACAAATTACCATAAACACTTCCATTTTTCAATCTGCATATATATATACATACATACATACATACCCGTGTTGATCGTAACCGACACCCATCTCTACGAACAAGAGAGTGATGGAAGAGTTGGGTACGGAGTCCAAAGTGGTCCGAGTCTGCTCAGAAGCCATGGATCTTCTTGTTGATTGTGTTGTTGCAGTGATTATTGTTGGGCGAGAAAACCAAGGTGCGTGAGAATTGATAGACGACCGGTTGGGGAGGCGAAGAAGTGGGTTTGAGAAGGGACCAGTGTGAGTTCTACTGAGAGTGAAAGACCAGAGGTCTGTTGTAGAAGAAGGAAAAACAAGAAGAAACGAAGAATTGGATACAGAGCAAGCCCTCATAGTCCTCTTGCTCTGCTTTCTTTGATTTTTGTCTCAAAATTTTTCAATTTTAATTAAACTGGGGGCGCAAATTAGACCATCTCCAACGGTGAGTCAAAGTTGGTATCAGATTCAAATTTTGATGAAAAAGATACTTTTTTATGTTTCAACCGTTGCACCAGATTGATATCAAAATGAGATTTCAGCAAAAAAAAATCAAACTGAGAACGAGACACAGATTTTACCAAATCACTGTTACTGACCGTTGATAGAGGTACACCGGTCAACCAGCCGGTTGCCCGGCCGGTCAACCAGTAAAAGATTCAAACAGTTCAGGAAAAAAAGTTCAAACCGTTAAAAAAAAAAAAAAAAAATTTGCCTAACCGGTCAACCGGCCGGTCGACCACCCGGTCGTCCTGGAAAAAGTTCAGAAAGTTCAAAAAAAAAGTTCAGACAATTCACGAAAAAAAAAAAAAAAAAATTTTTTGCCTAACCGGTCGACCACCCGATTGTCCCGGGATAGATTTGGTGAAAGGTGAACCGTTGGCGTGAGTGGTATCAAATTGGTGAAATGGGTCATTTTTTACTCAGATTTGGTGAAAAATTTGAGTCACCGTTGGAGATGCTCTTACAAATGTACTCGCCCTTGGAAACAAATTGCCTGTGCCGTACATTTTGTCCCTATATTATTTTACTTTCTATTCTTAATTGGCTCAATTTTAATTTTTAATTTTATATTAATTTAGTTTAATTGATAATGTTGTTAGTTATTTTGATAGAAAACAATTACCGAATTAGTTGAGATTAACTCATCGAATTTAGTAAATTTATAATTTTATTTTAAAATATATGATACATACCACTTATATGCATATTTTTTTATAAAGAAATGCTAAGAGTTGTAATCAATTAGATCAAATTAAATTAAAATCATAAATTTATTGTCAAAATTAAGGGGTTATTTGGGGTGTCTTAAATAAGTACACTTTTTGTCTTTTTAAACTAAAAAGTTGAGTTTGAAAATATGAATGTTTGGGTTAAATTTTTGACTTTTTATGGAAAAATATGTATTTTTAATTTTATATTAATTTAGTCTAATTGATAATACTGTTAATTATTTTGATAGAAAATAATTACCGAATTAGTTGAGCTTAACTCATTGAATTTAATAAATTTATAATTTTATTTTAAAATATATGATACATACCACTTATATACATATTTTTTTATAAAGAAATGGTAAGAGTTGTAATCAATTAGATCAAATTGAATTAAAATCATAAATTTATTGTCAAAAGTCAATTGAAATTACAGAGAGCAAAATAACACAAGAACTAAAATATAAGGACTGCTAACACAATTTGCCCCGAAAGAAATTATTTAGTAGGTCTGGCACATTTGTGTGAAATTCTACACCGTTAACGAAATAAGATAATTCAATTTACACATCATTAATAATTTTTAGTAGGCACATCATCAATTTTCAATTTCATCTCGCTTAGACTTTTTATGTTCAACATTTTTTATATGTTTATTTTTAGGGCTCTTTTTTAATAAATCCTATTTGTAACTGTTTTATTCTATAAAACCCAAACTATTTTTGAATATTCCATTAGGTCCATTTGTAGACACCCCATTTTTGACTGTTCTCAAGACTAGGACGTCTCGTTTGAACACTCGATGATCATCTATACTCGTGTTCATTTTGAGTTTCTGAAGGTCTCGGCTGTGTGCCTTGTCTTGGAGCCTCTCAACTTGTCTATTTTGTGCTTGGTTGTGGACCAAGAGCTTGTGACTTTGTTTCTGAGGGAAGAGGGTGGCCTGCTGGCCATCCCTACAACCCATCGGCCATACCCTCTTTCCATCGACCATCAATGGTGGCCGGTTGGCTTCACTGATGGCCGGTCGGCCATACTTTTTGGCCAAGGCCCTTTTTCTTGCTTTTGCAGATATTTTTATTGCTAGTTGTGCCAGCTAGTGAGCATAGATTGCATCCTCCATACACGTGTATAGAGGGATTGATACAAGCCTCTAGCTTGTCCAACAAGCTTGAGACTTGGATTTCTATAAAATGGGAGGTCCCTCTCCCTTTCCAGAGGTTCAGAAATTTGGAGATACAAAACATATCCATCTTTCTCTACATTTCTCCCTCTCTCTCTATATTTGCACTTGTTTGTGCCTTAAAGTGGTTTTTCTTCACAATTTTGCACTAAAGCACGTAGTGAAACACCTTCACTCTTGAGCTGATGTTCTTGGAGGTTGCATTTGAGTGGTTTTAGCTTGGTTTTTGCCTTTGAACTTGCTGTTATTGTTGTGCTTCAAGGGTGAGTCCCATATTTTCTTTTAAGCTTTGTTTTTGCTTAAGTATTTAGCCACCTTTGCATGCTACTTTGGCTTAACTTTCAACTACAAAAAGCTTCATTTTTAAGTATTAAAAATGGTTGTTTGAGGCTTGGTTTGAGTTAGGGGTGGTCTCCCCCCTTTGGTGGCTTGTTATGCTTTGTTTTGTGCCACCTCTTTGGACCTTTAAGATCACCTTCTCTTGGCCTTTTAACCACTGAATTCTAGAGGAATTTTAGTGGTGGAAAATGTGTTTTGAGACCTCAAATAGGAGGGGGTTGTCCCCCCTCCTCTTCTCTTGTTTGCTTGTGTTGATCGCTCACCAAAAGAGCATGTATTTCTATCTTCTTGAGGCTTTATTTGAGCACTTTTTTGGGGATTTTTTAGACATGCCATGACTCTGTTTTTGGTTTTCTTGGTCACCTCTTGCATGCTTCTCGTACTTGTAGTATAATCATACTTGTAGCTTTGCAAAGTAGCATGTCTTTCTAGCATGTTGAGGCTCTATCTTAGCATGTTTTTGTGACTTTTCTAACATGTTATAACTCTGTTTTGGGTTGGTTTGATCACTTGTTGCATGCTTCATGTACTTGTAGTGCAATCCTCCCTATAGCCTTAACATGCATCATGCTTTGGATCATCATTTTAGCATGCTTTTGGCTCCACTCCAACAGGCTTTTACTCATATTTTTCCTTAGCTCGGATTTTGGTCGACAAGGTCACCTCTTGCATGGTTTATGCACTTGTAGTGCCAGCTTGTTCACTAGCCTAGCTTGTTTGGTGTTTTGGCCTATTGATCTAGCATGTGTATGCTTTACTCCAGTACATTTTTGGCTTCAATTTAACATGCTTTAGGTCTGATTTGAGTGGTCTTGGTCATGCATGCTTGGCTTTGCATAGCTATAGTGCATTTGGCTTTGCTAGCCTTAAGCTTTGAGACCTCTAGCATGTCATATTTGAGCTTTTTGCATGGCATGACATCATTTGGCATGTTATTTCAGACCATATACCTCTGCCATATTCTTGAATTTATCATCCCTTTGTTGTGTTTGAGGGTTGAGCCTTATGTTTCACTTATGAGCCAATATATATGCATGCTTGCCTAAGCTTTTGGGGCTACCATCTCAGCATGTGTTTTGGTGTTATTTTACCATGTTACAACTCTAATTTTTGTTGGTGAAGTCACCTCATGTTTGGTTTTGGTATGTGTAGTGTAATCCCATTCATTGGCCTTGCATGCGTCATGCTTTATGCCTCCCATTCTAACATGTGTTAGCTCTACTCCATGCATGTTTTGGCATTGTTTTGACCTGCCTTGGGACTGTTTTGAGTGATCTTGGCCCTTTGGGGCTTGCTTTGTGTGGCTATGGTGTAAGTGCCTTAGCTAGTCTTGAGTTTTGGGAATTTTAGCATGCTATATTTGTGATGGTCGCATGTTTTGT